TTGCTCGGAAAAACTTGTCTACGTGGATTACCCGAATATCGTCCACGTACTCCAAGTCGGTTCGAAGATCTTTCTGGATGATGGACTTCTCAGCCTTGTTGTTCGAAGCAAAGGTTGGTTTCATTGTGTTTCTTTCGATTGTTTTGTTGCCTTTGTTCAGACAACTACAAAGAGTAACTTTTCGTGACTCGTTTTTATTCCTATGTGAACGACCGTGCAACAGGTCGATCAATGGACGGGGGACGAAAATTTCACTGCAGGCGGAGGTACTTCATTTCACTTCCCATAAATATCCTCCAAGTCAATTCTGCATTCCCAGTATGATTGACACGAATCATTCAGGGTGTTTGCCCCTAATCTTTCGATCACTCTCCTTCATAGTGTTGTCCAATGAAAAAACTTCCAAACTGGGCGGAATTCACGACGAATTCACCCAGCTGTTAAGCAGGAGCTATTTGCAAATCCGCACTCTCTCACCGATAGACTGACATACCGACCTTCTTTTGGCACCAGCAGCCAATGGAATGCTTCATTGGCGTTCCACACTGCAAGATCATATGGCCTATTGTCACTAGCCATTTTTTGCCTCACCTATCCTGTCTCTGTATTCTCGTTTTTCTTGCTAAATGTGTTAAATGCTAGACATCAAACGGGCTTTTTCCCTCGGTTTTCGCACCCCATCCAATTAAATGTGTTCGCTCAGAATAAACCACCCGCAACCCGAACTAGTCAGTTTTTCAAGGACGGAAATACCCCCGGAACGTTCACTTGCAAAGATTGAGTACGCAGTTGATGTTTTTCTCCTTGGTTCAGATCCCCTTCAGTGATTCAAGGCACGCTAAGTAACCTAAATAATTTTTTTTATCGCACGGTGTGCTTCACACCTCCAAATTGTGAATTGCTGCTACAATGCTGGGTGGAATCGAATCCAAACTTCATGCTTGCAGACCAGCCAATGTCGTGTTAGATCAGTTTATTCAACTGAGAAATTGTGTAAGTTCCGCTTTACTGGTTCAAGACGAGATCACTTGTCGAATCAGAGAAGTCATGGGAGCAATTACCAACCTCTATGGCATCAAAATGATACCAGTTTGACGCGCAGATGTACGAAACCTCACGACGCTGGCCACCGAACCATTGAGGAGTCTGGCGGGATTATCTGATCAACAATGTGAAGACCAATGGTCTTAGGAAGATGGGACTCTCCCGGTGCTCGCATCTCATGAGTAAACGTGACAGGCATAGGTCATTATTTCCAGTCTCGTAATTTCTTCAGTTCACATCAATGTTTTGCACCAGTGGGAGGTCTCATCAATTAACGGCGTGTTCTTTTTATGCACTGTAACAAGTCCATAACAAGTCACTTCCCTGTGTTCTACTTTTCCAGCCCAAGTTTTCTCAGCTCTAAGTGTCTTACGTCATTCTGGTCTTACTTATGCGGTATCTCGTGAGAACTCCGCCTATCTCTCCTATCCCCACAGGTCCGGATTTCTTGGACTGTGAAGTGGAAAACGGTGGAAAGTTGGGTTCACGCAAAGGGGTAAATCTTCCCGGAGCTATGGTCGATCTACCTGCGGTATCGGAAAAAGACAAGGCAGATTTACGCTTCGCTATTGAACATCATGTGAGTCATTCTTGGTTGTCAGTTTGCTCGTTGATTGTTATAATCCTCCAGGGAAAAGACGAAGAGAGGTAGCTTCTATTCGGAGGTATCTCAAATCAGGTTGTGGCTGATGGAGCGCGCTGATATTGACCTTGGAGAATTACCTGATTAAGAGCTACGGTTGTTTTTGAACTTTCGTCGGTTGCCTTTCTGTTCATCTTGCCTAGCCCGCATGTCCTCTCAGCTTAGGCTGGCTCCAATCGCGTTAGCATCGTCCCATACGCATTAGCTTTCAAATTCTCCCTGTCAACGTCGCTCATGACAAACCATATCAGTAGCTAATATTGCTTCATTAGCCTTCTAACTTGACTGTGCACTTCACCTAGAGGCATGAGGGTCTATCCAGAAGTTTAATTGCGCCCAGTCATTGTTCCTGGTTGTTACTGTAGCCGAGGGTTCTTTCTGTTTGCATCTCATTGGGATCTTCGAATTTGCTGAGTTTGTTCAACTCACAGTTTTTTTTCGAACCCCTATCCCATAGGTCGATATTGTGTTCGCATCGTTTATTCGGAATCCACAAGCCGTGATAGAGATCCGTGAACTGTTGGGTGAGGCTGGAAGCTACATCAAGCTCATTGCAAAGATAGAAAATCACGAAGGTGTTAAACGGTAAGTTCATTTATTTTGTCACGTGACTTCGGTTTACCGACAATCGGAGCTGTTTCGACTCAGAAACCATTTCTGATTCTGAAGAGAACCACAAGTGTCGACGATTGGTCGCATACCTCGACTGCAATTAGGACAGAAAGTTTCATGTTTGCTATGACAGCTTTCACCAATAACTTCATATGAACAGGCGGTGACCGGTTGGCTCATGGAACATGTGTACGATGTAGTTGAGCCAATCTTTAATCGCACTTTACTTGAACACATGCGCTTCATGTAAGCGGCCAACAACCGCACGCTTTCGCTGTCATCATCATCATTATTATTATTATCAGCTGTAATAACCGCCTACTTGTCGTACAATGGTTGTAGCTGCCACAGTTTCGTTCACCAATGACTCGGGGAGGTGGGGTAGGTAGCTGCGTATTGGAAGCGGGAGCTGATAAATTGGTGCGTAAATACAGCACTGTCAGTGGACTGTCAAGTGGGTGGGCTTGAAAGAGAGCTTGGATGCACGAGCACCATTGAGGGCGCGACTGAGCCATGTCTGACAATGCCTCTAATCATTGATGTACCCCATCTCGGGGCCCCATCCAGGAAGACGGCAATTACCAGCGCAGCTGAGTTTGCTGGTAATAGCTTTTATACTTCGCTGTCAAGTGATTGTTTGACCGCCCCTGGCTCTCTTCCACCCTTCATGTGGTTGTCGAAAAGAGCCCCTTCGAGGAAGTTGGACGACTGGCATACGCAGCACGTGGCCAAGCAGCGCAACTTGTGCAGTGTGATCATTTCATCCATCGAGAGTGAGTTATTTCTCCCGCATACCATTTGACGTACTTCAGCGTGGCTTATCCGGTGTTCCACCAGATTCGGGTAATGCTCCGAAGACATCGATGGTCAAACACTGAAAGTCTTTTGACGTCCTCAGCGCGCACCGCAGCATTCTAAACCCCTACCCTTGACGGCGCAGCCAATGTCACGCTGTACAACATAACGACAATTTTCTATGTAATCTCAGATCGTATAAAGCGTACAAAAGCGCCACAACGACCCCGTCGTCAAACCGAGAACCCTTACTCATTTATCCCATCATGTGGTCGGATATATAGAAGCCCTGGTTGGCTTCCTTTTTCTGCTGAGCCGACTGTCTTTGCGCGCTCGAATTATGTGTTTGCCATCCTGGAATTGACTTTCCCAAGGTTATCCGTTCCTAGGTCATCTCTGACAGTTCACAAATCCTGCCTGACCTGTCAGTTTTACCGTCACATTTTTTATTCTCCCCAAATTGATAGTTCGCCATATAATACTCTGGTGTATGATCCAAAAAACCCCCACGGGTTCGTTCTTATTGGACGAATAGCTTGACATCTGCGAATGACGTACACAGTGCGTACTATCGTGGTTAGTTCCGTAAATAGATTGCTAATCTACCGTACAAATAGCGTGTAAATGCACTCGAAGGCGTCACGATGTTGTACTGCCCATGGTGATCGATTTGCAGAAATGTATTGTACCTTAAGACCGTTTGGTGGGGAGATAGACACACTGTTTGATGGCCAAATTTAAAATTTTCAGACTGAAGTACAGCAAAATGCACGAGTTGGTAGATTCAGTGTGGTGTCGTGGCGAAAATGTATGTGGTGGATACGCACCTCATGGAACTTGGTCTTTTCGATCTAACCAGGGACTGCCTGTCATTACCATCCTGGCCGTGGTCCATCATTTGAGCAAAAAAATATCTGGTGCACCCAGGTGCTTTGCCGGCGCAACTAGAAACCATACCACCACCGTTTGTCCATACCACTGATTTCGGTACTTTGTCCATTGGGAGAATCCGCTGAAAGACTGACTTGAGACAAGGGTAGAATCAACTTTTCCTTCGTTTCCACTAGGTTGGCAGGTGAGTCCGGTTGGCTTGCCGGACAGGTTTACTCATCGTATAACGTGACCCGTTATAACGTAGATTGTTAGCTCGAGATCCCAATGACCCCATGTCAGTTGGGTTCAGTTCAGTTTGAAACTAATTGCCAACTATAGACCCTGTTGTATTGTTTGACAGTGTAAACGTGTTGCAATCAATGTCTTAATGTTGGTAGTTTGGGTGAGTTTATTGGTCGATACCCAGGTGGGGCGGTTAACCTGTCCTCTGGGTTTGGCAATTGGCTTGCCAGCCTTTCGTCACCGTGCTAGGGAACACGGTCATTGCGCGAACTGACTGATATCGTGGCTCAGCTGAACAAAAAAACACAGTATAGTGTGCATCTTCCGTGGCGTCAAGTCCTTGGGCTGTTATTCCTATCCAATTCCTTTATTAATAAATAAAAGCAAACGATGGCGAGGTAACATCAGAAGCACGAATTTACTGTATCTAACTGTTTTATGATCACAAGGCCACATAAGCTGCTTCGAAAGTACAGTTTGCCGTTTTTGGCATCTGTGGGATAACTTCGTATCGGTGGATGACAGGCTATGCATAATTGACTGCAGTTGTATCTGGGTATCCTTTGAGTCACACACAAATAATGCGGTTTTTTTCGTATAAATGGACGCGTGAGATTATTGTACACATCACCGTTCTCGACGGCACAATAACGGTTTTGAAAGATGCATGAAACGCATACAGACCAAATCCACGTCTCGTGTCTCTATTTCGTTGTCAGTATCACCAGTAAGCCTCTACTCAACATCTGGTGACTAGTTACGGGCTGTGAGGATCAGAGAACTTCAGGAAGCTTTGTGGGAAACTTAGGAAAAATTCCAGACAGAATTTATGACTGTATGATACGAACGTCGAGTATTCCGCGTCCTCAAATTTGATGAATTTGCCTGCAAACAATCATCGTAAACCGTCCAAGACCGATAGCGTGACCGGTCCACGACGTCTTTAACTGTATCCGGTTTGGGCATCTCGTAAAACATCAGCTAAAACACATATCCAAGAGTTCGATAGACGCCTGTCTGACGATCCCTAGCACGTATGACTAGATTCATGTATGTGGGTTTTCGACAGCCTGGCTCTATTCTTGGAAATTCGCAAAGCATGCTGGGTGTGAGACAGTCTTTGTGCAGCACATTCAGCTGGAGAACGTCATAAGCGAGAGATTCGCTTGAGTCTCCCGTGAAAACCAATTGATTTGCAAATGAGTGTATTTGTCGAAATCAGTCCAATTTGAGTTCAAGTAGAACATAAGGTTGACGGAAACTCAAGAACTGCGCCCATCTGATGAGCCTCTCGTGGGCTGTCGAGGAGTTTTCAGCAACCTTATGAGTAGTGCATTACAAAATACATATGTTTCGCGATATCTCAAATATCGTAGCGACTGAAACACGAGGCGGCCTGGTGCAACACATTCAGTTGCCCGGAAACGAGAGATTCAGCTGGGTTCCGGGTGAGTCTCTCGAAAAACCAAATTAGTCTGCAAATGAGTGTATATTCGCTAATTTCGTGCAATTTGGTCTCAAGTAGAACATAAGGTTGACAGAAACTCGGGGACTGTGCCTACCTGATGAGCCCCAAGAAAGACGAAACCCGTCGTGGGTTGTCGAGGAGTTTTCAGCAACTTTATTAGTAGTGCACTACAAAATATTGCTAAGCTAATTAGCAATATACGGCTACTCACCTTGCGACCAGGCCACACTGAACAAAACTGGAAATCATGTACTAACTCGGTTTTTAGGGATGCTAGTTAAGCGGGTAATCACTGTGATCGGTCTTTTTTCTGAGATATAAAGGTGTTCCAGACGCAAAAATAATCAGCCTTCCCAAATTCGCAGTTGATCGCATATAGAAAGTAATTTAGTGGAAAAAAAGTCTGCCTGAATTTCGGTCTTCGTGGTATTGTGTTAAAAAAAATAAATAAATGAAACAAGTTACATGTTCTTACATGTATTTATGTGTTTGAGGACACTTCTAGTTTACCTTAGAGATCGTGCTTTTGAGAGATCTGTTGCAAAAACAGGACGAGTGTGCGTGATCGATGCGTTCGGAAGGATTTCGATATAGAGATAAGCCCCGTCCAGGAGATGAGTTTCACGTCTCCTAGGAGCGGACGAGAGTCACTAACTGGGAGAGGAAATACGACACAGGAACAGGATGAGCTGAAAGACGAGAAACAAAACTACACCAGTTCACATGTAACATTTGGGGAGACCCAAATCGGCCTAGCCTCTGTTTAAAAAAGGGATCCTCTCCAGCATTGCCGAAGACCTCCTGTTTGAGCCACCGAAACTGAGGTGGAGCTTTTCAAACCACTCCGTGTTAGGGAGCGTGTGTGCGACAGCTGATATCGGGATATCATTTCAACCGATTGAGAAGGATATATTCTTGAGGGGTAGTCGTTCAGAAAACGATGCCCCCTACTGACCAGTGTCAGAGTGGGCTGCGATAAGCAGATGTCAACATAACTAGAAAGTCTAGCCGAGAGAACCCGTTGACTGGCTCTACTCCCAGGATAACAATGATCTTTTCGTGCTGTAACAATCTATCATGACTTCTTTATTGTTAAAAAGAGCTCGTGATAGCTCGGCGGTTGAGGCCAAAACTTAATTTTCGGAAGGTCCGTGATTCTTGTCCAATTCCTCTATCTTGACTGTCCCTGTCTAGGCTTGGGCAACCTGACAGTATCACAACCCTGATGTTCCCTTCGGGTAGCACAGCAGCTGGGTACTTTCGATGTCATCCTAATTGATACTTTCTACTTTTTTGTCGTCCCTGAATGTGACAAGAAATAGTTCACAATGCGCTCGCTGTTTTAGCAGTTCCCTCTGATGACAGTGTTGTCGCTGTTGGTACCCCCATACTGGCACCGCCATAGCCGCCAAACATGCCTTCTTCTACCTTTTGAACAGTTTCAACGAAATCCTCGAGGTTGTTGACGGAATCATGGTTGCTCGTGGTGATCTTGGTATTGAAATCCCAGCGGAGAAAGTATTTTTGGCCCAAAAAATGATGATTGGTCGTTGCAACCAGGTCGGGAAGCCGGTCATTTGTGCCACACAAATGTTGGAATCCATGACCTACAAACCCCGACCGACTCGAGCCGAATCAAGCGATGTGGCCAATGCTGTTCTGGACGGAGCCGATTGCGTTATGCTATCAGGTAAGTCATGGATACACAGTCACCGTTCGGTTTCCTTGGCAGCCTTCATTCCACAGAAAAACCCAGTCCCTTTTAAGACAGTACCAATGCTTTATGGGGTCTTTGTGTCGTCTACTCGATGACTTATAACATCTGGAACTAATAAAACCTCGAGATCTGTGGAGCTAAGCAGGTTCCGTTGGACAAGTTGGCTTTGAGTGAAACGAAATTTGTTCCCCCAGAGGATTAGGAAACCAGGGGTGTAACAGGTAAATAAACTAGCCCAGCGTAGTCGCATTATTCTAAACACATGTCTGCCACACTCTGGAACTTGTTCTGTCAATGTCGACTGAAAACCTTTGAGAAGTAAGTAGATGGAGATGGGCTGTTTGTTCTTCAATTCAAAGCGGTTAGAAATCGCATTGACAAAGTGGTTTCTTTCATGGCGAGGGAGAAACCCTAGCAAATCGGAGTAAACGAATAAGTTTTTGAAACGATCGGAACAAGTTTCGCAGTGCAGCAACTGGGCAAAATCGTTGGATGGTATGAAATTCGAAGGTTGCACTCCACCGCGTACAGACTGTCTGGAGAAATACCTCAACGAAACGCTCTCTGTTCTCGTTTTCTCGACACAGCGCGACTGGATGAGATCTCAAGGCGTTCCTTTTGATTCGCATAACGGACTAGACGTCTTCTTCCGTTTCTCTTCAGAAACGCTATTCTTGGACTCCTCGTTGAGGATTACCTGGCTGTTGAGAGTCTTGCCGTGCCGGTTATCTGGTCCAATGAGCTGGCTTAAAAGTCGCCATGACTAATATTCCGTTTTATCGGACTGTATTTTGGGGAATTGTTCTCTTGTCGTTATCAAATTAATCAAACGCGAGCCGTCACGTGGCCTTTACTACTTATCCGAACTACTGAGACCGAGTCGTGGTACGTCAAATTCACGCAGTTACCACATATACGACACGGTCCGAAAGCGTGGAAACTTAAAATGGACTGCCCTGTTTTACATTACCCGATCATGTCAAGTTGATTGACTGTTACGTAACCATTCCAGCTTTGCAAAACTGCCAATAGCTTTCGAATAGCTCGATGTTAATTTACCTGGTTGCACACAGTACAGGCAAACGCAATCGTGACAGGCCAGCCATGTCTGAACAGGACCGATCGATTGTTTGGCGTTTGGCAATCGTTCCTGCAGCGCAATGGTTTGCCCGTTCCATGCATCAAAATCAGACCGAATTCGTTATCATCGTCATCATTGACAGCAATACAGTGGCAATACGCTGTCATACAACCATGAGAAATTGGATTTGTGATTTATCATACCATTTAGAATGAGACGCTGACGGATGGCATAATCGCCATCCGCCCTCGTTCGCGGCCAGGTGATCTCCGACTTCGGTCGTTTCATTCATCCTGTTTGTGGTTTTGTTTTTCACTTGCGTACTTCTGACGGTGTCCGAACTTTCGATTACGTAACACGCTTGTATTTACGCTCGCTCGCTAGGTTCACTTCGGATTGTACACCTCTATGCCATCTTGACTCGTATTTTAACACGTCCCGAGGTTGCTTGCACGTCCGACAATACGAAATTCGGATTGTACACAACTATCACGGGTTAACTTTAGACTTGGCAATTCACCATGGATCTCTCTGCTTCTCGTTCGGATTGTACACAACTATCACGGGTTAAATTTAGACCTGGTAATTCACCATGGATCTCTCTCTGCCTCTCGACTTCCCCTGCCTAGTCTTGGACAACCTGGCAGTACCCGAGCCCTCGTGCTTCCTTCGGGTGGCATGGCAGCTAGGCACCCGAAAGGTGTTACAGCTGAACGATTTATTTATTTATTTATGGTTCATGTCACGATTATTTGCCTTAGCCATTGTCCACATAAATTTGGACCGTAGAGACACGGACAGGTGGACTTGACACCTGTCTGGTTTTCTCGTTTTTTCTCATTACATAGCATGACTCATCGTGCAGCACCACAAGGAATTAAGGGAGCATTATGCCAACCACGACTCATTAGCACCCACCGTTATCGCGATGCAGAACTCCTGCCAGTGGGACTGAAAGCTATCAGCGATTTGGACGGATAGAAGCAGTTTTGAGTAGTATATAAAATACCAGCGGTGCGACTGTCGTTTGCGCCGTAAATGGTCCGATTTATTATATCAAAAATCAGCTTGGGAACATAAACACTCGAAGCTTCCATGTTAAGCGTCCCTGTGCATCACATATTGAACACCAAAGAAGCATCACTAAAGGCAACCCCTTAGTGCCCATAGACACTACCGTTTTTCCACGGAACTCCCTCTTCAACCGACTAATCCGTTCTAGCTCATAAATGCGGCTTATGCGTTGAACGGAGTCTGTTCCAAACTTCAGTAAATGAAGATTAGAGTAACATGAATTCTCCGTTTCCTTAGTTTTCCCCATGGCCAGAAGTTTTATCGATCCGTGTGCACTTTACAGCCTTCCTGGTTGACCTTAGCCTTGAGGTCATCCGGAATTGTAAGTCGTCCGTTGTTTCCGCCTTGACCTTGCACACCTGAACGACAGGAGGAGTTGTTTCGCCTGTCGTACGGATCTTTACAGATTTGGTGGTTGTAGCAGTGCGTTCGATGTTTTCCCCGAACCCAGTTGGATTGACGCGGCCTCCGCTTTCAGTATTTGTTTAGACCTTGTGTAAGGCTATGCGGAGTTTTCCTGAAGCCCCATAACAAGGGTCCTTGAAATTGGGTATTCTCTGACGAAACGACCGCGTGTTAAACTTACAGATCGTACAATTTTTCGCGTCATCTGCTTCTGTACTCAACGTGTTTGTGCCTGTCAATCCCGAAGTATGCATATCACCACCACTGCCAGTCTACCAAAAGCTAGACACACGCTTGTGGCCAGATGCGTGTTCAGACCAACTTTAGTCACTTCTGGATTGATCACCGGGTGCATCCACGAACGGTGAAGTCCGTACCACAGCCGATTGCATATGCTTTTCGTGAGATTCTAAACGAACCAGCTACCGCTGGTCGAACAAGTGACCCTTGACACCGTTATGTGGCCTGTACTTCGTTCTACTCCTACGGTGAACCGCAAAAGATAACGTTCGATAATACTGTGTGGTCTGCATAAGTCCCATCTTGATACGCTCTTCTCAGCTGCATTCCCACCCTTTTTCGTATTCCATGCCAGTCTGCCGAAAGCTTAAAGCTGAAACTACAGTCGTAATTACGTTGTGAGCTGAATTCATTCTGACTCCGTAATCGGTATGAAACAATTTGCATCTCCATCTTTTCACCACCGACGGACAATGTGGGGATGAGGAATAACAGTCGGCGTGAATTGATGCTGTTACTTTAGTGGCAGTGCACAGCCTGAGTTCTTTTTAGGGGGAAAGTTTTGACTGAACGTGTAGAACAGATATTCGAATCCCATTCATGATTGTGATGAAAACTGTGGACAACCTACTGTCGGTTTCGGACCCTGGAGGCTCTTCATGTGGGCCCAGCCCCTGAATTTCCGTCAAGCTTATGTTGGAGTAGGTGCTTATGTCGTCTTGGGAATAATCAGCAATGCGCTTCTGGTGATCGACTGTTAACGTGAACCTTCTGCTAGGCGAAATCCCGCACCGATACCACTCACGATTAGGCACTGCAACGCCCATGAAGCCTATCCCGCAAACAATTGGCCAAAATATCGGTCTGCTCTCCTGTCCAACACCGAGGCGAGCTCTGATTGGCTGATAGTCCAGACCCAATGGCCAATCACGATCTTGTATCACCAAATGCGGTTGCTAGTGCGGCATCCAGGGGATGTCAGAATTTCCAGTATTGTCGCGGCATATAATTTATACAAATATTCTCGACCTGGTTTTGGACGTTAATATACGTTATGCAAATTTGGGGTTTTTTGACGGGAACGCTAGCCCGGAAGATTCACACCAAGAACTAAGCCGAGGGAATACTTATTAGTTTCATGCTCAGCTTATAGACTGGTTATTTTCGATGGCTAAAGAAAAAGAGCTTTGTGAAGTGACTAATCCATTGATTTGAAGAAATTAATGTGGTCCACCCTGTATAATGGGTGGCCTGATTCTCGCGAAAGCTATATGACGCACATCTCAAGCACTTTATTCGACTGCTGCAGTCTTCCAGATTCACTGATGGTTGTCTGTCAAAGCCTCCGGTGGATTCAGTTATTTTCGATGATTTTTCGCTCTCCAACGACTGGAGGCATTGCAGTGCTTCGGAACAACCCTGCCCCTCATCTGTTTGTTCTAGGATCACACTCTTCATTCGCTTCACGGAGATTTTCTAAGGGAGTTGAGGGATTTCAAGGGATTCGGCCTCTGGTTTCGCTCGACTTGGTACGAATTCAGCAAATAAAACCCTTATATTGACTAGTACCGCACTCCCTGCGTTCACACGTTTGGCCCCATTATGGACAGGAAGTTCTGTCAAACTTGTGTGGTTTCCAACTACACCGATACGGATTAAGAATGTCAGTGAAGTTGGCAAGCACAAATCATGTGACGTGAGTGGTATCGGTCACTGCGATTAGTTCAGTTTCTGCTTATTATTCGGGATCATCGCTACACCTGAAACACACACCCATGCATGCTGTTCTACCCGATTCATCGGTACTGAGTACTTAACAGCCGACAAACGACGAAGTATCAACCAGTGATTTTGGGAAGCCTGTTTTTTCGGTATGGTACTCCCTCTTTGTCAAAAACACCGGTTTTCCTTGCTCTAAATTGTTTGGAGTGGCTCACCAAAACTGATGCCGTGACCAAAGAAAACTGTATTCCAACTTCACATCACTCCCGTTTGAACAGTCGTTCTCCTGTCCTGACGTAATCATTCTGGCGAGTCCACACCGAAGAGGCGAGCACCGGACTCGAGTTTCACTTTCATTAGAGCTCATCACGTTTATGCACAACTATGACCAGCACTACAAGGGAAATTTTGTGCAATGCTAGATTGTCTACCCTTTTTCTTCCAGGTGGTAAAGGTACCAATGTATCCGTTCGGGAAGGCGTTCGTCTCATCGGGGCACTCAAGCTTTTGTCGTATTGCCTTTGCTATGGACTGTGGATCGTACCCGACCAGCAACCTATGCTGTGTCCACTGAGTCTTATTTGACCGAGGCGCACATTTTGGTCACCTTAGCGAAAGGTAACCAGTAAAACCGCCCCGGTTTCATAGCATATACTGAACTAATGACATCTGCAACACCCGATAACTGACTGAAATTCAGTCAGGTCGCTTCATCTAGCAAGCGAAACTAGTTCAAGGTCACCTTTGAAACTGCGAACCACTCGTAAGGTGGCCGATTAGGTTCCGCTGAGGTTGCTGAGTGGTTATTTTGCTGGGGAGGAGGATCCACATACAAAGCCGATTCATATAAACCTTCTCCTTGAACACACTTCAATGGCTTCAATATCTAATGAAGAGGGGCTGTTTATTTAAGGCGTAAAAAACTAGAAATGGTTTTCGAAAACGTTTGGTGACAAGTGGCCCAAGTGGTTAGAGCGCGAATTTACTGATCGGAAGGTCCGTGGTTGGAATCCGATCTCCGCCACTCGACTTCCCCTGTCTAGGCTTGGGCAACCTGGCAGTATCCCAGCCCTCGTGCTTCGGGTGGCATGGCGGCTAGGCACCGGAAGGGTGCTACAGCTGAACGCTCTCTCTTCTTGGTGACAATCGGTAGATTTATTGCTGGGCAACGTTTCGCTTTTGACACAAAAGCCTCGTCAGGCCAAGTGACTAGATTCCGAGCTAGGTCGAGATTTAAGGTGGAAGGAGAACCAATCAGCTAAGTCAAGCTAAATCTCCGTTGGGTGTTGGCCGAGGGATTTTAGTGTGCTAGAGTGGTTGAACAAGTGTTGGGTCGGTGGGGAAACCTGTGTTTGGGTCCAGCCTAGGGTCTGGTTCTTCTGGTTCAGTTCGTTTGATGGTTCCTCTTGGACTTCGTTTGAACCTTCTGTCAGTCTGTATGGGTGAGCTAGTGTTAAGATAGTTGTGTAAGAGGCATGCTGTAACCTTTGGTCGGTTGGGGTTTCCACCCCCACCCCCGGTTTTTTCTAATGATCCTTAGTGGATTGACAACCACACCATCACGTGTCAACTCGGCTTATCTAAGACCGCTTTCCATATGCTCGCTAGCTCCACACCCTCGATTCTATTCACGCTGTGATGCTTAGTGATTTCCACCGCCTCGGCTATCAGCCGCTGTGGTGTGAAT